GAAGAAACGAGAAGGAGAGAGTTAGAGAGGGCGGCGCCTCTCTTCTCTGAGGGTCGTTCTCTAGGAAGAAACCGAGAGAGAGAGAGAGAGAGAGAGAGGGAGTGAGAAGCGGCCGCCTCTAGATCTGCTGGGGGTTTTGGTTTGCTTCTGTAAGGGAGAGAAGTGAAGAGACGAGAGGGAGGAAGATTTGAGCGGCGCCTAGGGTTTCCTAGGTTAAGTCCCTTATATACCTCTGGCCGCTACCTAAATGACCGATATACCCCTCCAAGCCTTAAATCGTAAAAAATGTAGTTATCAGGTTTCGAACCAACGACTTTCACATCATTCCTCGCCACTATTCGCCATAACAAACCACTGAGCTACATCACAATTCTTGATCCTTTTAAGCCCCTCGTCTAATTTTATTCCTTATGCTTAATACATAATCAATTAAACATTTTAGAAATCTTGATCTAGTTAGACTGTCATTATTTCCATACATCAAAATCTTTTAAATATTTTTTTTCACTACGTTATTACGCATTCGTATTTTTTTTTCCCCCTAAAGATTCAATAAAATGAAATCATGGTTAATAGATTATGATGAATTTTATAGTGTAATCTTTCCATTATCATTAATTAATTGAGTCCAACTAATCATAACTTTCATTTCTCAAGATGTATGTCAATAGAAGTAAATCTCATCGTATGTCAATAGACGTAAATCTCGTCGTATGTCGATAGCATACGGAATTTATTTTAACTCAATAGTCCAATATGACTTTAAATTAAATCATTATCAACTTAAACACCTAACCCTCAAAATCTTATCGATTTAAGTAGTACCAATTTTGGGCGTTGTGGGGTGTGAATACACTTCCCCACACGTAACCGTACTCCCGAACCCAAAATCTCTAAATTCCGCAAACCAAATCCTGGTTTCGACCCTGAGGTCGAGGCCGGGCCAAAATGGTGTTCGACCCACCACAACTAAGGTCGATGGCGACTCCGATCAGTTCGCGACGGATCCCCCGATTTCGGAGGGGCGGTTGCGACAGTGGCGACTCCGCTGGGGACAATTGAGAATCGAGCTACATATACTAAATCGATAAGTTTTTCTTACCTTATTTAATATGTGGGTGTTTAATTTTAATTTTTGGGCATATAATATCACGTATTAAATTTTTTGCATTCATGCATAAAAAGCTCTATACCCGAGCTCTACCTTAAGAAACTGAAAGGAGTACCGTGACTTTTACAATAGTAGGAGTCATGCGAAACTTTCTAATCAAGTTGAACTCAAATACGAGGTTGATTTGAGGTATTCGGCTAGCTCGAAAGAGCTATAGACGGATACAACTTGGGAACCAATATCCTAGAACTCATTACCGAGCATATAGTCAGTCTAGAAGCCACCTTAAACTATCCAAAACTTATCCCAAAGCCACCTTGAATCTCATCGTTAAACCTTCTATGAACTCTAGATTTACCTAAATAGAATTATGTTGTTGGTCAATTTACTTGTACATTTGTGTATTATGCAATGATTTGTGCTTTATCAATTCCTCGTAATATTATTATCTGATTGGTACATAAAAATTTCAAAATTCATGACATTTACATACTCACATTCAAAAAAAATTATTTAAATAAAAAACACATGCATCCAGTAAAAATCATTTTGCATCCATACATCAGCATCATTTACCATAAACATCATATCTACACATTAATTAATTAGTACCAAAATGAATTGGCAAGGGTTTCTTAAAATTGTTCACTTACAAGGAAGAAGTCTCCCTTTAAGTACCAGATCCAAGATTGTGCACTTTATTGAGTCATTTTAGCAGAAATTGGACGACATCAAAAGAAGCTCAAAATCCTAGAACAATTAAAGAGCAAGCCACAAATGTTCTGGGACATTTGAAGAAGAACCAAATTGTCTAAACACCAACTACAACCACTACCCAATCATCAAAACCCGTATGCAAGCCACAAAGCGAACCTTGAATCATGATTGGTGACATTTTCCCATGTTGAGAGTTATATCACATTTTTCTGTATTGTGAGGAATAAAGGATTGTTCACATTTCTATTTGTTTGGAACATTTAGTGACTATTACTAATCTTGATTTAAGAGTTTGCATTAATGATTCTTCTTTTCTAAATGATTAAAGTCTTTTAAACCAACTTGTTTCCCTAAAAATCATAAATCCATTTCATGTTTTAAGTTAAGCCATGAGATTGCCAAGCAAATATGGGCACCCCACTAGTGTCGAGCGATCATAAACACCCCACTGATGTTGAGAGCGTGCACACTTTGCTAGAGTTGAGAGTACAAACACCCCACTGGTGTCCACAAATAATGAGAGTCAATAGCTAAAGGGTGTAATGAGAATATGACATAAGTCTACTTGTAGAATCATGTCACTACCATAGCCAACTTTTTGCTTGCAACATATTCAAGCAGAAAAGCATTCAAATAAGTGCAACAAGAAAACGACATCATAAGTTTTGCCTCTCCGGGAAAGAAGTAACCGATCAACCTAGCCAACATGAAAGGACACTCACATTATCAATCACCAAGACAAACTTTCCACATTTTGATACTCGTGCTCAGAAATACCAATACCCGAACAAGGAAGAGAGAAACATATTTGTTGCATAACCAAGCTAAGTAAGTCCCACGACAAAAAAAAAAATTAATTAAGAAAAAAAAAGCAAAGAAAAAGAAAAATTATTGTGGGACTTATATGTTAAAGGCCCCTTCATTAGCATTTGAAGTCAACCATTCACGACAAATCAAAATGTTTGCCGGCTAATACCTACAGAAAACCTTAAGCAAAGAACCTATGTGATGAGACTTCACATAACCAAACTCGCATTCACAAAGACCTCATTTATTCACTACCTAACCTCACCTCCTCAAAACAATATCTCATACAAGGGGGCAATGTAATACGCATTCCCCAACATGTCCAAAAGCCACTACTATTTTTGAGGAAGTAAAACTTCCTCGACAAAAACCATGATAATTGCCATTAGGATCAATGTGGTCCATCATTTAACCTAATACTTCGGGGGCAAACCAAGATCGCTTTACAAGAAACTTCAAAGGACCAAAATCAGACTTCGTAAGAATCCCCTCATTTGAAAAATCATTACTCCGAACATATTTGACCATCAACATAAAAGAAGGCCTCTCATAGTGACCTGAATCTTAATGGTAGCTGAAATGTCATATATTCAAAGCACCCCTAGGGATGAGTGAGAGTGAAATCAAGCGTGACATCGAAAGTGAGAGTAGAGTTAGTGCTTATGGATATTCTCATGGCTCGACTTGCTCTCTTCTCATTGCAAAATGCAAAAAAAAAAAAAAAAAGTTTTAGCAACATGAAATAACCACACAAAAATTGTATCCATATCTTACACACTTCTCTCGATCGAAAATTTTAACACCAGGTCCCCATGATACTTTTCCATCCACATTTGTCATACATTTTTGCACTCATCTTAAGTTAAGATTGATAAAGTCACTCTTTGTTCCTTAGAATAGAAAGTGAACGCCAAATCTTTGGGGGGAAAGAACAGTGTAACCTCGAATGAGAAGCATTCTGAAATGCTCGCGAACGAAAGTACCCAACTTGTCAACTCATCAGTTTAAAAATCCCAAAGAATTGGAGAGCACCCTTGATTTCATTCAACCAACCAGTTAATCATTCCTCCACCACAAAAGGAGCACAATACACCACACCAACGCAAAATTTAACAACCTTGTCTTGGACAACAAGAAGCCCGAGGGAAGAACGACTAAGAACTCTCACTATGAAGCACAACTGAGAAGCATCCCTACAAGAGACAATGACACAAGTTCTTGCGGGTGATCAATTTAAAGGAGCCCAGGACAAAAAAAAATCAAAAACAAAAACAATGACATATTCTCAAATCAATTGATAAATGCATCACATCATTTTTTTACAACATTCATGACTTTATCATTCATTAGCATGACTCATCACACGATCATTTTTAAAATCATTAGACAACATCATCATATCACAATCATGCTCATTAACATACATTTCCAAACACATTTTGGTATTCGTCGAGATTTCAAGGACAACGATTATGTTTCCAACTTCATAAAAATCTGACGTTAGCTTTTCGCTTACAATTAGAGCTCGTCTTTATTAAATTTTAGACATGCTCTCAGCAAAACCATAAACACATTAAATTGGTGCTAGCGAGTGTCGAAAAAATAGGACACTAATGCTAATAAGCATAAAACAATTAATCATAAAAAATTCAACAATTAGCGCTGACGTGCGCTTCGTTTGCGTCATCATCAGAAAAATTCAACAATTAGCGCTGACGTGCGCTTCGTTTGCGTCATCATAAGGAAAACTCATCAATTAGCGCTGACGTGCGCTTCGTTTGCGTCATCATCAGGAAAACTCATCAATTAGCGCTGACGTGCGCTTCGTTTACGTCATCATCAGGAAACCCCAACAATTAGCGCGGACGTGCGCTTCGTTTACGTCATTTTCAGAAGACCCCAACAATTAGCGCTGACGTGCGCTTCGTTTACGTCATCATTTGAAAAACCCAACTATTAGCGCTGATGTGCACTTCGTTTACATCATCATCAAGAAAAACGTAACAATTGGCGATGACGAATGCCGAAAAATACGTCACCAGCAAAATATAATCCTCCACTGAACTGAGAAAATGTGGTGTCTGTACGAGAACTTTGTATAACTCTTTACATAAAGAGATATACAAGGGGGGCAACTGTAGACACCCCATTTTGTCCGGGTCAATTACTCAACTAAAAATTCTAATTAATCTTTAAATTACTCAACTAAAAATTCTAATTAATCTTATTCTAATTAATCTTTAAATATCGTAAGATGAGTCTAAAATATCAATATCGACGATTGTATAATTTATTCGAATTCGATTCGAATGGATTAATAGGACCGATTGGCTTCCAATTTACGCTTTTTGCCCAACACAGAAAATACAGAAGAAGAAAGTTTATTTAAATTATCAATAAATTATACAATTACAATCAGAATACAAATTACAAATAAGAATTACTACATGAAAATTTTCTTCCATCTCTTTTTGAAGCCAGCAATGGATCTGCCAAACAACAAGAAAGGAGCCAAGTCAGATCAGGCCCAGATTAAGACAAGCCCACAGTTCAAGCCCAGATTTCCAGTCTGAAATTTAGGTCCTAACCTAAAGCAAACTCAGCCCAAGGTTAATGATGGTCAAGTCCAGATGCAAGGCCCAACGCCAGCAACCCGAACCAGCCCAACGACCCTAACCAACAGACGGACTGGTCGAACCAGAACTGGTCCGTCCAAACCCAAGAACCACCGCCTCTTTTTTCTATAAAAGCAGGCTCAATTCCCAAGGAAGGGGACAGCTTTTCAGAAGGGGAAAATACAGGGGGAAACACTGTCTTTTCTAACTTTCAGTCAGTTCAAGAATTCTTTTTTTTCTTCTTCTTCTTAGCAAGTCCAGAGAGTGAAAGTGCTAAATAGAGAGCAGAATACAACACACTTTTTTTTATTTCCTCTTTATTTCCTGTAAAAATAGAAGCAGAGGTGTCTAAGCAAACAGAAGCCCAACAAGGTGTGCTGTTTACAATTCAGGTTCATCATCATCCATTTCTAATGATATAACTTCTTTTACCACTTTTTTTTCTTCTTCTTGTGAACTACACCATTAATGTTGTTATTATTGCCATCGTTACTATCATCATGATTTTGAAGGAGAAAAATCAATAAACTCCAATCAAACTACAATATGACCAAATTGATTTTAAAAAAATATCACAACTTATCAATTCAAACTTCACCAATCTCATTTACATTATCAGCTCTTCCATTCAACTTTGTTTTATTTTCAATCCAATTATCTACTTATTTCAAGAACGTTTACTTTACTAACTATGTAGTCATAATAACCTATAACTATCTCTGCTTTTACGTTAAGCTAATTACTATGTACTTATTATGCTATTTACTCTCTGTTATTTACTAGTTCGTTTATATATGTCATATTTCAATTCTCGCATCATTTTTGCAAATACATGAAAACAGATCATGCATATATAGAATGAAAACCAAATCTCACATATTCATCACATCCCACCCACAAACACCAGATCACAATCCCAAAATACCAGATCTGTGAACCTTTCTCCAATCAACAACATGATTCACTTTTTCGGTTTAATCTCTCCACCCGTAGTAAACCGAGTCTAGGAAAAACTCACCTAGATCTAAGCCATCTCCAAAACCTGCATCCCAACAAATCAAACCATCAGTCAGAAATCGAAACAAATCGAAACCCTTTAAAACCCACATAAAACCACAAAAATACTCACAGCAAAAAAGGTCGACAGTCGACTTTTCCCCTCTCGCACCAATATCGGAGAATCTCGCTGGCCGGAGACTTCTTTCTCCCCTCGATCAAACCCAACAATAAAAATGGGGAGAAGGTTAGAAACATGCTCGCACGCCAAAAACCCAGAAAATCAAACATGCAAAACCATAATCCGCCACTTACCGTCGGTCTAGTCTCCGCCGGCGACTCCCTCGTCCGCAATTAAACCCAGAAGCCCAGGAATTAGAAGAGTCCGAAATAAAAATCAGAAAAAATAAATAAACAACACCATGCATGCGAAATCCCCACCTGGATCGACATGCCTCCAGTCGATTGAAGTTGATTCATGTCGCCTTTCTTGTCGTCGTCTTGCCGCGGTCGTAGATCGCCTTTATTTTGGTTCTGGGATGAAGTAGAAGAAACGAGAAGGAGAGAGTTAGAGAGGGCGGCGCCTCTCTTCTCTGAGGGTCGTTCTCTAGGAAGAAACCGAGAGAGAGAGAGAGAGAGAGAGAGGGAGTGAGAAGCGGCCGCCCCTAGATCTGCTGGGGGTTTTGGTTTGCTTCTGTAAGGGAGAGAAGTGAAGAGACGAGAGGGAGGAAGATTTGAGCGGCGCCTAGGGTTTCCTAGGTTAAGTCCCTTATATACCTCTGGCCGCTACCTAAATGACCGATATACCCCTCCAAGCCTTAAATCGTAAAAAATGTAGTTATCAGGTTTCGAACCAACGACTTTCACATCATTCCTCGCCACTATTCGCCATAACAAACCACTGAGCTACATCACAATTCTTGATCCTTTTAAGCCCCTCGTCTAATTTTATTCCTTATGCTTAATACATAATCAATTAAACATTTTAGAAATCTTGATCTAGTTAGACTGTCATTATTTCCATACATCAAAATCTTTTAAATATTTTTTTTCACTACGTTATTACGCATTCGTATTTTTTTCCCCCCTAAAGATTCAATAAAATGAAATCATGGTTAATAGATTATGATGAATTTTATAGTGTAATCTTTCCATTATCATTAATTAATTGAGTCCAACTAATCATAACTTTCATTTCTCAAGATGTATGTCAATAGAAGTAAATCTCATCGTATGTCAATAGACGTAAATCTCGTCGTATGTCGATAGCATACGGAATTTATTTTAACTCAATAGTCCAATATGACTTTAAATTAAATCATTATCAACTTAAACACCTAACCCTCAAAATCTTATCGATTTAAGTAGTACCAATTTTGGGCGTTGTGGGGTGTGAATACACTTCCCCACACGTAACCGTACTCCCGAACCCAAAATCTCTAAATTCCGCAAACCAAATCCTGGTTTCGACCCTGAGGTCGAGGCCGGGCCAAAATGGTGTTCGACCCACCACAACTAAGGTCGATGGCGACTCCGATCAGTTCGCGACGGATCCCCCGATTTCGGAGGGGCGGTTGCGACACTTAGTATTTTATACAAACTTGAAGACCAATTTATTTGTAATTGGCCTGTAATCTCCTGTTGCCAGAATGACCTTGAAGTACTTGATGATGTAGACTCTTTGGTCATGAAACAGGGGTTGAAAATCCTTAATTTTCCCTTTGGGTATTCGCACCCAAATATCATTTCCCTGGAGAAGTAAAATAAGCATATTGATAAAATTGTGAGTTTTTAATCATAGATTTTGAATTTATGTGGTTGTACTTAGTATACCTTTGAGTCAATAGCTATCATATCGAGACAAAGAATAATATTTGTGTTAGGATTGGTTGACATCCACTTGTACGAAACTCGACATTAAATAATTCAGTTCCTCCTTTGATTTGTTAGATTGGATATCAGATGGAATTTGATATTGCCTAACCTTCCATAAAAACATCAGTAAAAATTTAAGTTTGTTTCACCATGGATCTTACTGTAAGTCTCGTACTAAGCACAAAGTTAATGTAGGAATTTTGTAATTAAATAAAAAACAGAGATCAACTCTTTCTAGAATAAGAATTTCAGTATATATCATCATGGCTATTGGCTTCCTAGTAAAACTTGGAAACTAAATTAGAAGGAAGATTGAAGAATTATAGGACTTTAATGCAATTTAATTGTTCCATGACCATGAATATAAGTTAATTGAAAATAATAATTTGTACAAATAATATATATTAACATGTTACTATGAAGGCAACTTGAATTGGGCAGTACTTGAGAAAAGAAACTAAGTTTAGTAAAACATGAACAAAATTTTAATGGGGATATGCAGGTGCATGTAAGAGAGCAGCAACTATGGCAATAGTAATAGAAGAAAGAATATATGTAATTATTCTTAAGATAACAAATAATCAACATATATGGAATATTACGTCTATAGAAGTCAATTATGGAACCGAGTATACTTACAATAATAATGATTAGATGTCAGATTAAATAAATCCAATTGTGTAAGAATGAGTTTTGTGAGATAAGAAAATTGTAATAATCATATGGGAATTTGGGAAAGTCTGGACGTGGTGTGTGAGAGTAGCAGGCTACAGACCCAATTCATATTTTCGCCGCCTGCTTTGAAATAAGTAGAGGGTCTCTAGAGGTCGAGCTTAAGTAAATGCAAAGATCGAATGGCCCTTCCGTAAGCTGCGTAGTAGCCAGGAAAAAGAAATTTTAGTGGATGTGGAGGGAGAACCGGCTCAAGATAGGATGCCCCATCAATAACTAAATATGTGCCCTTAATTTAGAAAATCCAGATATAATGATTGAGAATTAAAGGTAATTTTTATTTTCCCTAGTTTTCTTAATCGGCACATATCTTCTTCGTTTTAACTCGGACTTTTTTTTGCACAGATGAAACGAGTTCGTTGTGCTCTACAAAATGAGATACATTTTCAATATTTTTTTAGAAAAAAAAAATCTTGCCTCTCGGTACCAACTGCATACCATATGGTATCTTCTTCGTTTTTAATTCGTTTTTTAAAACGTTTGCACAGAATGAACGAGTTCATCATGATATATTGAATCTACAAATTTCTGGGTGTACAAATTATAGGACCAAAAAATACCACACAATATCATACAATACCAACCTGGTACGGGGTGGTATCTTGTGTAGGGGTGGCTATACGGTCCGGTCCGGTTAAATTGGCCCAAATTGATCCGGTCCAGTCCGGTTTTTTTGAGAATATAAGGATCGAAGATTGGATTGGATACAGTCCGGTCTTGACCCGGTCCGGTCCCAATTCGGTCTTGATTTTATATTGAGATTGTGGGAATTTGAGTGGCCTAAGGCCTAAAAGGGTGAGGAGTTGGTTAAGTTTTGTACTAAGTGTAAAGGTTTGTGACCGTTTATGCAAATTACCCTTAAGTTTTGGGTGTTGAGCTCTGTTATCCGGTCTTTATCCGGTTTTTTACCTCAAATCTAAGCCCAAAGATTGGATTGGATTGTTTACTATCCGGTCCCGGTCCGGTCTCGGTCCGGGTTATACGGTCCGGTTTCCGGTTTTTCATCCGGTCCCGGTCCAAATAGCCAGCCCTAATCTTGTGGTATACAATGTTAAGTCGTAAATGACAGTTAATATACTTCTACCATCATGTATTCAACCATCCTACAATCTTGGTTTGTTCATACCACCATGGTACGCTTTTCAAACCATAGGTATGCTCTTATTCAATATCAGTCAATACCATATGGTATAGACTAGTAAAAAATGGATCAGTTTTTTTTGTTCGAAAAATATATCAAAGTGGATATCATTTTGAAGAATACAATTAATCTGATCCTACTGTGCAAAAAAAAAAATCGACTTAAAAACGAGTGAGAAATCGTCCGTCAAAGATTAAGGAGGGGAAAATTAAAGGCTTTCCAGGAAAGAGAGAGATGCTGATGTCATACTGATGTGGACGGGTTACTCATGATTACTCACCATAAGGTTATTGACCTGATCCGTTCCCGGGTGAACCTCCATGTAGTATTTTTTATAAGGAATTCGCCCAATGGTATTGTCACATGTATTTGAAACTTAAAATACAGAGCGAATCTAAAGGAATTCGTGGTCAACACTTATAAGGTAGTTCGTGAAATTGTATCACTCCTGAATCATTGAAGCACGTCGGTGGCCGCTTCATTCAGTAATTTTGAGTTACTACTTACTAAACCGCTTCATTCATCTAGTGTCCAATATTCCAAGCCAACCAAAGACACTAACAATGCTAGGCAGTAACTGTTAACGTATCTAAACTAATCAAAAGCTTAACGAGATGAACACACGGATTTAACGTGGTATCCCTGGAATGCCAGGACTAACCCACGGGAGAGGCAAGCTCTCCAAGGTGAAATCGTACTATGTTTGCTTAATCGTTTGCGGTGGGATACAAGATGAATAAATACAAGTCAGAAACCCTAGCATGCCTACGTTTGCATGGTTCGGGTTGCATGGGCTTGGGCCAATCATCAATCATAAATCTCCGTGGCCCAAGACACGTCCCATAATCCGCAAACAGCCTCCCCCAAATTGATGCCGGGAACGAAGCATAAGCATCAATTTGCTTGAGAGGTACCAATGTCGACTACTGGTAAACGGTTTAGTAAATATATCCGCAATCTGCTCTTCTGTTTTGAGATACTGAAGCTGAATCGAACCCTCGCGCACCAAATCACGAACGTAGTGAACATGAAGCTCGATGTGCTTCGTGCGATCATGGAGAACCGAATTAATCGCAATCTGAATGGCACTAGTGTTATCCACGAAAACGACAAGAGGCACTGCACATGATACTCCAAGATCTCCCAATAAACGCTGCAGCCAAACAAGCTCCGAACAGACATCTGACATAGCCCTGTACTCCGCCTCCGTAGAAGACTTGGATACCTTATCCTGTTTCTTACACCACCATGAAATGAATGAACCAGAAAACTGAACACCAATGCAGTCAAAATCGCGCTTTAAAACTTAAAAGCTTACGCTTTTACCTTTTTAGGTCACCAAAACGTTTCTACGTAGAATCGTGATTTTCCTTTACAGATGGAGTCAAAATCTACGATTTAAAACTTAAAAGCTTACGATTTTACGCTTCTAAGTCACCCAATCGCTTCTAGGTAGAATCGCGCTTTTGACTGCATTGCTGAACACACCAACCCGTAGTGGACCGACGTGTATCAACACATCCTGCAAAATCAGAATCGGAAAAAGCACGTAGATCAAGAGAACCTGTGGATGGGAAGAACATACCAACATCTTGTGTGCCCTTCAGGTAACGGAGAATCCTGTGTGCCGCAGCCAAATGATCCCGGTGAGGTGCCGCCATAAACTGGCTAACCATCTGAACTGCATAGGAAATGTCAGGTCGTGTGGCAGCTAAGTAAATGAGACTTCCCACCAAGCTACGATAACGTGAGCCTTCACCATCTGGTAAAGGGTTGCCGGAATCACGTCGTAGCTTCAAATTCAATTCCATCGGTGTACTGACCGGTTGACAATCATCAAACTTATGTTCACTCAATAAGTCCCCAATGTACTTCCGTTGCCCAATGTGAATACCCTGGTCATTCCTACTGATCTCAAGCCCAAGAAAATATGACAAGTCACCCAAATCGTTTAATCGAA